TGAGGGGCCTGGTGCCGGTGCCTGCCCCGGCGGCACAGCCAGGCCGTCTGGGAAGGGGTTTAGTCTTAATCTGGCACAGGGTAATTTGGTTTCATCTTCTCCCTGAAGAGGGACCGGGGCCTCCTGCGCGGGGGCTACGCTTTCTCTGGATGTTATCGTTACATGTTACTGACATAAAAATATATTATTTTAATAATAAATAAGTGTAACCCTGTGTCGCTGAAGAGCTTTGATGCATTTTTGCAACTTAACGGGTTTTTTTTGAATGTAACCGTTTAACTGTGACCAGCCCACGAGCTTTCACCTCTTTGCATCAATGGTGAGGGGAGATTTCCACCTTGACCAGCTAATTTTTAGCTAAATAAAGATCATTTCTGCAGATGAAACCTGCCTCTCAAATGCATCCTGGACAAGCAGTCAGAATCATTTAGGTTGGAAAACATCTTTAAGATCAGAGTCCAGCTGTTAACCCAGCACTGCCAAGTCCACCACTAAAACATGCCCCCAGGTGCTACGTGTACACTTGTTTTAAACACCTGCAGGAATGGTGACTCCACCACTTCCCTGAGCAGCCTGCTCCAGTGCCTGACAACCCTTTTGGTGGAGAAATTTTTCCTTATACCTGATCTAAACTTCTCCTGGTGCAACTTCAGACTGTTGCCTCTTGTTCTGTTGCTTGAAACTAGGGAGAAGAGTCTGACCCCCACCTTGCTACAATCTCCTTTAAGCTAGTTGGATAGAGTGAAAAGGTCTCCCCTCAGCCTCCTTTTCTCCAGGCTAAACAACCCCAGTAGAAATTAGTCCAAGAAAGACAGTGTGAAGTACAGTGTAGGTTTTCTCTTTGTCAGCTGGTCCCCTGCTAAGCTCTGCTCTCAGAACGAGTAATAATAGATTTTTGGGTTCTTGCAGATCAGGTTTCAATTTCTGGCAGAAATTAATTGTGAGAATTTGCTGTTTCCTTAATGGAGTTTAAGTTAGATATTTTAAATATAAAGTATTCAGAAATTAATAGCTGGTAACAAATAGCATAGTGGAAGAAAAGTTCCGTTGCAGTTACAATCTATCAACTCTGTTTCTCTGTGATGGACACATAATGCAAAAGTAATTCCCAGGACCTTACTTCTTATAAGCTTCTATATGCAAAAAGCAGCACTTCATAGTGAAAAAATGCATGCATCCTCCTTTTATAGTTCACATAGTTCATTCTCTGCATGAGAAGGTATAAACTCCTTGGTAAGGGAAAGTTAAAGCATTCAGCTTTCTTAATGACTCATGATCTGACTGTTTTTAACTACGTAGCTAACTAATTTCTTTTCTGTGCACAAGAGCTGGATACTTTAATCATGTTTATTGAAGTGGGACTATTGTAATTGTCCTTATTCTTATTTAAGCGGGGGAGAACTTGCAATAATTTTTCCAGTATTTCTCCACTTGTATAACTGAAGTGCAGGCACTTTGTATTTTATGCAACTGTGGTGAGGAGAAAAAAAAAAAAGGTTAGTAAACAGGACATACAAGAAATCCATACAACTGGAGTTTGCTCGTAATTTTGATATTTAATGGCAATCTAATGCTTTAATAAACAGGGACCATCTGAAATGTCACATTGCAGAATGCAAATGTGTAGGGATGTTTCTTTAAAAATATTGATACAAAACCTCTTTTCAGAGATTTCTTTTTCTAAAGCACAGGTCAGGCTCTGTTTTTGTCCTTGAAGTTAAAACTCTGAAAGACATTGGGATCACTCGATAATGTAGCTGCTCAAGGACAGAATCCAAATGCCCTTTCCTCAATATCTTCCATTGTATTCCTTCAAAACAAAGCTAGTTAATGAATTCAGCTTATCAGTCAAGGCCTCCCCACGTAACTGACTCCCTGGAGGCCTGGCTGTTCCCTGCAGAATTACACAGCACAGGCCACCTGCCTGGGAGTGAAATCAAGGAGAGCATCTCAGCAGGCTTCCTGTCCTGCAGCAAACATGTATCATGCCTGAAACTTCTTCAGAAGCCACCTTCTGCCTTGGAGCTGTTTTGGCTTTTGTGTAGTTTGAAGGCTGGATCCACCCTATGTACTCTGTAATGCCTTGAAGGCAACATTTGATCTTCAGCACCCAAGTTCAGATTAAGTCCAGAAGTGCCTTATTTTTACCCCACACCTTTTTCATGACCTGTCAGGACCTGCTCATGGATACTGCTGGACTCTGCACAGAGATCCCTGACTTGTCTTGCATCTGCAAAACTGGCAGAACTAATTCTAGTGAGCTTGCCCTTGTTTTTTGAGGGCATTACCAGTGTGTTTTCTCTATCAGCTTCTCTTACCTAGCCTCGCAGAGCTCTTTTCCAGGAGGGTGACACTCGTTTCTATTTTCTTCCCTCATCTCTGGGGGTGCTACACCCAGGAGCAGGTTGTTCAGGAGCAGAGAGGAAGATTCAGCGTTTCTGGAGAAAATGGCTAGATTTTGCACAGAATAATTCAATATATGTTGGTCAATAGAGAGAAGTTTGTTTAGCTGAGAGGGGAAAGCTGTGGGTATATTCTGCCTGCCTGACTGCATTGTGGGGAGTACATAAACTTGATTAGGGGCAGACACTGGAAGGCAGGCCTGTTTTTCCTGAAACAATGTGCTTTAGCCACTTCTGTCTAATGGCAGGTAAGGCACATACCGCTGTGTTTAACATCTTCACCTGAAGGTGGGCAACACAAGCTCAGACCTATAGAACTGCTTTTAAAAAGCCCATCACTGAGATAGAGCTTCACTGGATGTAACTGAATGAGGGTGAAGTGCTGTGGTGGCAGGGCCTACAAGGACTGAACAGCTTCTGGTATCTGCTGGTTTGGACACCTAGGCTGTGCTGGCTGTGCAGCATTAACCAGCCTGTCGTGACCACCCAGTGTGCCCTAAGCACTGCCTTGAGTGGAAGGTAGCATGCAGCTAGCCTCCTCTGAGGGTCTGGGACAAGTGCTTGCTTATCCTTATTAGTGCATCTATTCAGCCTGGTAGTAAGCTGTTTATAACATTTAAAAAGGTTTTCTGGAATTAATTTGCTTCAAGGGGCTGTTGTTTTCCCTTGATGCTTTGAGAGGTGGAGGTAAACATGTTTTTGTCTGCAAGTAGCTTGAGGGAGAG